TCTCAGGTCAGGAACCCTGTTCTACCGGCCGATCCTACCTCCTTGGGTTAAGTCGTTCCTCCTTTGTTTGTTTCTCTTGTGCTAGTTTTTCCCTGGTTTAATTCCCTATTGTTTCTATGAGACATTCGGACATTATCGTTCTTAATCTTAAAAAAACGTCAATTGTTTTTCCTCATAAACTTTGCTAAGGGAATGGCCACAGGTAGAGATTCATAGGTAGAGATTCTAGAACACCTGTAAAAAGGACGTGTTATATGTTATCAAACTTGAAATGACTTAAATGTCGTTCCCTTAAGAGTAATGCTATGCACGTGTGATATCTTTATAATGTTATTTATGAGACTGAGAACAAAAAATGAAAAATATTGAACATTGAAAATAGTGAAAAAAAAGTAGAAAAATAAGGAAATGTATAAAAGGTAATAATAACTGTACGATAATAATACTGACATAGAGTTTAATAATAGTAATCGTGGTAATGCAAATAACATTATCTCTACCATTAACATTACTCCTGCCATTACCAGTTTCATCATCAAGAAACATTTTATGATCAGTGAAAACAGCCTATTTATTTTTCTTTAATCGCCTTGACGAACCTCCCTTCGCCTCTTTTTTTGTCAAACCTCCACAACAAGCCTACACAACCCTCTTATTACTCCCCCCCCATTCGTCTCTCTCCCTCTCTGCCTCGCTCTGTCTCTCTCCTCGAGCTGCAGCGCCTCTCTCTCTCTCTCTACGTGTGTCTCTTTCATCTTCGCTTCTCTCCCTCTCTTCTCTTTATCGTTCTTCTCCCTTTATTCCATCTTCTTTCCTCTTTCTCTCTTCCATCTTTTGCCTCTTTCTCCTTCTCCTTCCCCGCCCATTTCTTTTTCCTTTCCATCTTTATCCCTCCCCACCATCCCACTTTTTTCCTTCAACCCCCCCTTCATCCCCACCTAATCCCTATCTCTCTTCTCCCTCTTCATCTACCCTCTATCTCAAATCCCCTTCTCCCCTCTTCGTCTTCTTCTACCCCCTCCTCTCCTACTCCTCCTCCCTCCTCCCTTACCCCCACTTACCCCATATCTCTCTTCCCCCTCCCTCTTCTCCTCCCGACTCTCTCCCCTTCCCTCTCTCCTCTCCTTCTCCCTCTCCCTCCTCTCCCTCCTCTCCTTCCCCCTCCTCTCCCTCCTCTCCTCTCCCTGCTCTCCTATCCCCCTCCCCTCATTCTCTCACCTACCCTAACAAGCAGACCAAGACATGGAAATAAGTCTTTTAAAGCCTAACCTGCCCAAACCGCACTGGCTTTCCAAAATGACCTCACGTCACCTTGTAGCAAAAGGTTATTTACCTCGTTTTAAGTTATTTCTATTTTTCCATTTTTTTTTTTTTTTTTTTTTTTTTTTTTTAAGGGTGTGTGTCTTGAAATCCGTCTTTCTTGTTCTGTGTTCGTATGATTCTTTGTTTAACTTAGTTGGCATTGGGTAGGGTTTTAAGTCATGCATTTGATTTGAAGCTTTGTGGGAGTTTCTGTAGAATGAACTGGAATTGTGGCCAGAAAGTGTCTAGCGTCATATTCCTGTATTTTCTTTTTAAACATCAAAATTACAACGCAATTTTTACAACATGGTCACTGATGATGATGATGATGACAGTACTACTACTACTACTACTAATGATAATAATAATAATAATGATAATAATAATAATGATAATAATAATAATGATAATAATAATAATGATAATAATAATAATAACAATAACAATAATAAAAATAATGATAATAATGATAATGATGATAATAATAATAATAATGGTAATAGTAATGATAATAATAATAATAATAATAATAATAGACAAAAATGAATACAAACACGATTTCCGTTCTTCCATGGGCGAGGCTTCGGAAATTATAAATCTCTGGCGATTTACGAAAATTTCCTGTCTTGCAAGGAGTTTGTTCGCAGAAATAGATTGTTGAGATTGTTGAGAAAGTGAACAATTATGTAATTAAGTACATTAGGTTGATAATGTTTGGTTGTATGTGATTATCAGCATGTGTGAGGTTGTTATTATTATTGTAGTTTGGGTTAAGTTTATACAATTGTTGCTGCTTTGAATGATGTTATTATCAATTTTGATGAGTGGCAATTAATGTATTAATGGGTAAGATGAGGATAATAGTATGATATTAATAATAATGATAATAATAATAATGATAATGATAATAACAACAACAGCAATAACAATAATAGTAATGATAATGATAATGATAATAATGGTGATAATAATAATACTAAAAACAATAACAATAATGATATAAATGACAATAATAATGGTTATGATGACAATAAGGATAATAATGATAATGATTATATTTGTAATGATAATGATGATAATCATAATGTTATTATTGTTACCATTGTTATTATTTTTGATTTTATTATTATTGTTATTAATGTTATCATTACTATAATTATTATCTTAATTATAGTAATTATCTTGGTCATCGTTGTCT